CTAATACCCTTTTAATGTGCACAGATTTTGTGCACCGGATGACTATTATAAAATAAAGTGAAATCAGACAGTTTTGTCCTTTTCTATCTGACTTATTTCACTTAGCATAATATTCTCACAATCCACCCATGTTGCCACAAATGGAAATATTTCATCTTTTTATGGCTGAGTAATATATCATTTTTATATGTGCCACCTCTTCTTTATCCAATCATCTGTCAGTGACACTTAGGCTGCTTCTGTATCATAGTCATTGGAAATCATGCTGCAATGAACATAGGGGTGTATATAGTTTTACAAATTAGTGTTTTCATATTTGGGGGTATATACCCAGAAGAAGACTTGCTGGACCATATGGTAGGATATTCTTAATTTTTTAAGAAACCTCTATACTGTTTTCCATCTCTCCCCACCAATAGATGCTTTTCATCACCTCCCATGTGCCAGGTGCTTGCCTATGGGCTGGGGATACGGCGTGGATAACAGTCTGTGTTAACGTCGGCTCGTAATGAGCAGTGCCGTCTCAGATGAGGGTTATAAAACAACAACGCAGACGCGGCTGCACCTGTGTAAGGCTGTGCTCACACCTCTGCTCTTCTCCCTGTAAATACTCTCGTTGGAGACGCATCTACCCTAAGGGGACCACTCTTGTTTCTACATTATGATTCCCGGTCCATCTCAGGCCAGTCCCTTTTAAAGGCCCTGCCCAGTGGTATCCCAGTGGCGCTGACGCACACCTGTGCCCTGCTGCCGTCACAGAAAGCGTGTCTGAAGCTGAACTCACTGCCTCTGCTTCAAAAAGCTCCCTCTACTGATGGTTTCTGTTCCTGCTCCTGTCACTTCTTCAGTGTTCCAAGCTTGAACCCTCACTCCTGGTCTCCTCCTCTCCTTCGGTTACCCTGTGAAGGAGATCAGTCCCCAAACCTTTAGTAATGGCCTCAAGTCCACTCCATCCCTCTCCTGCACCACCCGGACCTGCCTTGCCAGGAGCACAGCCGACCTGCTCCCCACTCCCTCTATGTCAGCAGTTCTCAACCTGTGGGTCGCGACCCCTTTGACAGTCGAACGACCTTTTCACAGGGGTCACCTAAGACCATCCTGCATATCAGATATTTACATTACAATTCATAACAGTAGCAACATTACAGTTATGAAGTAGCAACGAAAATAATTTTATGGTTGGGCACAACATGAGGAACTCTATTTAAAGGGCCAGAAGGTTGAGAACCACTGCACTATGTGGTCTCTACAGGAGACTCTGTTTTCACCCGTCCCTCCCCTTTTCATGCAGCCCAAAGGCTGTGAGCAGATTACTAACCACCACAGTGATCTCACATCTGCGCTCAGAGCCCCAAGGGCCTCCATGCTGCTTGCGGACAAAACCTAACTGATATGGCCTGACTGCAGGCCCCATGCAGTCCCTGCAGCCCCAGGATGAACGCTGCTCTGTGACCAGAAAAATGCCTAAAAGACAGAGCATCTCTGGGATGGAATGTGCTGTTGTTAAATATGAAACAGGAGATTAGTGTCATAAAACCTGAGTAAATGGCTTTGCGTCTCACCTGTTAGACAAAATCTGCACACAATGATTTTTAAGGGCTTTCTGTTTTTATCAGAACAAACCTTCAAACTGAGGCAAACTGGGTTTTTATTAGCCAAAACTTCTCTAAGGATAAAACTAAGAAATACAAGCAACATCCTATTAATAAAAGCGTAGTATGCAAATTGTCCCCTCTAATGGGAGTTGTCTGGGAGTTCGACCAGGGGACGGGGCCAGCCAGGGGAAGGGAGGGAGTACCCAGCCGGCAGCCGGCAGCCGCTAGGGACCCTACCAGTGTACAAATTTTGTGTGCTGGGCCTCTAGTATGAACAATAAAATAAGCAAGTCACAAGAATAGTTCTGAGTAAGCAAATTCCTGGCAGATCCCCACAATTAAACACTGAAGAATGGCCCCATTCTCGCCGCTTCACCCCTGTTTCAGCGGAAAGGAAAGGCCGAGGGGAGAAAACACCTCGTGCAGCAGGAGGTTCAACGACCTGGAGCGGCTGCAGGAAAGCCCCTGCCCTTCCCCTTCCCGCCTTTGAGAGGGTAACATGGGAAAGACCGGTTCGTTTTCCTAAATTATTTGTTTCTATTTTTTGATCTCTCTACCCACTTTCAACAATGTAATTTTTTTAAAGGGGGGAGGAAATCCCCTTTTGATTTGTGGGTTTTCTTTACTTGCTTCTTTTGAAGACTACACCTAGTCTTCCTTCGGGTGGAAATGTGTAGAACAGCAACCTGCTTCCTTAGACCAGCATCTGCTCTGCTGTCTTTCTCATCGCTTCACCTCAGCCCAGACGGCACAGCAGGTCTCCCATGGGCCAGCCGCAGCGACCTGCAGAGCAGGAACAGAAAGCATCCTGCACCACGGCTGTCACATGAAAGCCGCCCAGTGCTACGTCCCCGCTGATGAGCAAGGCTTGGCTGCTCAGCTGCTGGACTGTCTGATTCAGGATATTCAGGGTGACGTGTCACTGAAAGAGAAAAACACTTAATAATCCTAAGGCTGGTTCCTGATGGAAGTGCACTCATGTCAAACTTACCCAAATTGTTAGATTCCTACACCAAGAGGACATAACAACAGATTCGGTCCTGCCCTGGCCAGTTGCTCAGTGGTTAGAGCATCGGGAGGCCTGAAGGGTGGCAGGTTGGGTTTAGCTGGAGCCCCTGTCTTCCCCCGCATCGAATGGCTCCCGTGTGAAAGGACACTCCCACAGAAGAGTGTGTGTGGCCAGCGATGGGGAACTAAGCTTACAAAATGTACCGAGAAAAGCATAACAAGAAGAATAAACATGTCACACTAAAGATGAACCTGGGTTTCATGCCATCAGCGTGGACTCCGTGAGGAGAACCGGAGGTTGGAGCCCGTCCACGTTATAGAATAGCTCACGGTGAGGCAGAGCTGTAGCCGGACTTGCCTGGGTGTTCTCTGGTTTCCGCCATGGCTCCTGTCGCCTCCCGGGCTGACACGGGTGACCGCCGCCCTCGTCAGTGCATTTCATGTACAGAGTGCAGATTCTCACAGCGTCTTCAGAAGGGCCTTCCTCCTCTCCTTTCAAAAAAATCTGAAGATTAAATAATGCTTTTCAATTGCTGATAAAAAAAATGGCAGGACCACCTTTTTTTTAATCCTCACCTGAGGATATTTTATTTTTTCCATTGATTTTTAGAGAGAGTAAAAGGGATGGGGAGCCTTGATTGTTGTCATCAATGTGAGCAAGACACATTGATTGGTTGCCTCCTGCATGCGCCCCTACCAGGGCCAGGGATCGAACCTGCAACAGAATCGAACCCATGACCCTTCGGTCTGTGAGCTGAATGGCCCCTCAAAGACATCCCCACCTCATCCCCAAAACCTAGGAATTTGTTACACAGGGAAATTGCTGATGCCGTTAAGGATAAACATGATGTGCTTTATAGCTTGAAGATAACAAGAAGAATAAACATGTCACACTAAAGATGAACCTGGGTTTCATGCCATCAGCGTGGACTCTGTGAGGAGAACCGGAGATTGGAGCCCGTCTCCGTTATAGAATAGCTCATGGGGAGGCAGAGCTGTAGCTGGACTTGCCTGGGTGTTCTCTGGTTTCTGCCATGGCTCCTGTCGCCTCCCGGGCTGACACGGGTGACGGCTGCCCTCGTCAG